ACGTAAACCTCGTGATATTAATTAACTTCCACACAAATATTAGATATACAGGTTTGACTAATCAAGTTATGTCAGGGATTATTTTAATCTTATTCAATTAGTGTGTAGTATCTAATCTGTGGGAGAAAATAAATGAAAACTTAAACAAAGCCACAGTCACCAGCTAGTATCAAATAATCTACGTAAACCTCGTGATATTAATTAACTTCCACACAAATAGATTAGAATCGGAATCGGAATTGAATACCGAAATGAAGCGGAAGGTGAATCAGCTACCGGATGGAAAGCTATTTCGGACAATAGACCGGACGTTTGCGTGACCCTGAATGTGAGTTCACATTAAAACGGCTACATCGATTTCGGAGAAAATTTACATTTTAAACTAGCAGACCGTAGAGACACAAACGTTATAATTCCATTTTGGGCTTTATTAAAAAATATATATTTCTAGAACCCTGTCTAATTAACACTAACATAAACTAACAGACCGGAAGTACCGAAAGACCCAAATGTTGTAATTCCGTTTGGACTTCAGAGACCCAATCATTGGAATTCCGTTTTGGGGTATTATTAAATAATATATATTTCTAGAATCTTGTCTAATTTTAAACTAACAGACCGGAAGGACCGAAAGACCCGAAAATTGTAATGCCGTTTGGACCCTAGAGACCCAATCGTTGGAATTCCGTTTGGGATATTATTAAAAAATAAATATTTCTGGAATCCCACCTAATATAAAATTAACAGATCAGAAGGATGTGAAAGACTCGACTGTTGGATTTCCGTTTGGACGCTAGAGACTCAATCGTTGGAATTCCGTTTGAGATATAAAAAAAAAAATTAAGAATTTAAATTAAGAATATATATATATATATATTTCTGGAACCTTATCGAAGCACCATCTACCGGATAAGTAAACGTGGTACTACGGGTGTCATATGATAACGAGATTTTTAAATAAAATTGTAGTTTGTAATTTCAATTTAACAACTTTTCATTAAGTCTATATGAAATATACATATACATATAATTTTTGTAATTGTTTGTGTTGAATTATGATTATAGACATATACATATATTTATGTATATAGTAAATATATATATAAAAAAATTGTCTGACAGTCTGTTTGTTCTTCTCTTTCTTCTTTGAAATGGCTGAACTGATTTTGATTTGACGTGTCTTTCTTAAATTTATAACTTTGAAACTATATAAAAAATAATATGAGATTACACAAACTCCTTAATAAATGACAAATTAATTATACTTTAAAGAATATAATCTTATTATATATGTACATACATGTAGGCATAAAAAAATTGTCGTTGAATTGAAAACTCCTTGTTTTTGAAGTCGGTTATAAAACATGGCTCATTTTAGCTACCGTTTATCAGTCAATATACCTCGAAGACCAATCTTCATTGGATAATCCATGTATTAAGAGTAGACTGTTATAACTTGATCCCTGCCAATCATGCTTACTGTAAAACGAATTTTGCCCTTCATTATCAGATAAATACGATATAAGTATGAAAAATGTCTATAGATAACGTTCATACAATGAAAAGGTCTCGTGATAATGACATCCTGTAGGCTCTTTAATGAACGAGTATCGACGTCGAAATTTCAATTTCGAAATTTCCTGTAAGTTAATTACTTTTCTTTTACACCAGTTATTTATTATACTTCTTGTATTTTACATACTAGGTGATCTTTTATGTATTAGTAAAATAAAATCTAATGTAATAAATAAAATATCTATACATCTATACATATAAATAAAATTGAAGTGGCTGTTTGTAATATTGAAATAACCGTTTTTTAATACATGCATATGAATATAAAAACGGTACGTACACCAAAATAACATTTTTTACAATTGTTTGTGTGTTCCGGCTAATCTCTGAAATGGATGGACCCGGTTTGTGATGAGGAGTAACTTAGGCTACTTTTATTTTACAAAAATAAAGTTAAATTCGACGAAGTCGCGAGTACAGCTAGTATCAAATATAAATAAAAAAAACTATTAATTTCTATTTAAAACAAAATCTTCATATGAGATAAATTATAATTATAAAAAACTATGTACTACGTCACTGCGAACGAATTACCGCCAAATGCTCAAAACAAAGAAATATTTCAAATTAATGTGTTCCATTTTTGAAATTATTAACCAAACATAAATTGAATAAATAAAGTTTCTTAAAAGAACTTCTCTAAAATAATTTCAATTAATACGTTCCATCTTTAAAATTACTATAAGGAGTTTCAAATTGAATTACCAGCCAGTACCAAATAAATAAGTAAAAAGTAAATATATTCTTTCATTGCTCTGTTTATAATGTTTCATTTTTTTTTTATTTAATTTAAATAACAACCAGTATATTCAATTAAAAAAAATTGTGAATTAGAATATATATTATTAATAGCCATATCCATTCATTACATTATGAAACTATGACAAATTAACAATAGGTATTTATTACCTCAGTGTCAAAATATCAATCTCATGTGATATCACAAGATATATTATTGAAAATAGGATAGCTCATGAACCTTCACCAATGCAATTTAAAACTTTGCTACCTTGAAAATAAGACGTAGATTTCGTCGTTTGAGAAAATTTAAATTTCCCCTAATGGATTGCGTGGCCATTAAAAAGTTGGATTGCCTATTTAACTGTCGAAATGAGGAGACACGAAACAACTTTCTTAATTGTTCCGCTTTCGTCAAACATTTTACCGCTGTTTAAATTTCAATCATGTACACCAGCCACTTAGGTAGCTCTGATGTCGGCGGTTTCGCAAATTGAGTAAGTCTCGCAAATTATTCTGACGTCACCTGTCATAAAGGTCTGTCTACACGCTCCAATACAACGATAATACTATTAAATATTGTACAATAAACAATCAAAGACAGAGTATTTTAATGGCCTCGATAATTTGAATACACCGCTTTACTTTCTTTGGTCGCGGGTTGATTGTCATACGATGCAAACTAATGGATCTAGTGTTGACTGAACAGTCAGACTTCTACGCTATATCAGAGCTCTATTCATTGATTGATGATGCCTTATTTAGAGGTAAAACACGTGTCGCGAAATGAGTGTAGATTCAATAACGGTCGGAATTTGATCACTAATAGAGAAGGTCGTAACACTTCCAGTAACGTTGGTCAGGTTTCCGCACTAATATTTGTGCTCTCATATATGCGAATGGTAGGAAGGTAGGAATTAAACAAAATATAAAATACTAGCTACTCGCCTCGGCTTCATGTATTATATATATAAACCTTCCTCTTGAATCACTCTATCTATTAAAAAAGCGCTTCAAAATCCGTTGCGTAGTTTTAAAGATTTAAGCATACATTGGACGGACCGACAGCGACAGCGACTTTGTTTTATATAACAATTAAGTCATTAAATGGACTACCCCAAAATACCTGATTCGATAAAATATAATTCATAGAACGCAATAAAATCCTGAACTAAACAGAGCTTTATGAGTACTAGAGAACTGATACAAATACATAGACACTTTTTTTTTAAATACTTCTTCATGCTCGCTTCTTCCTGTTATGCGAGGTCGGCTTTGCTAATCTTGAGGAGCTATGCATTTCGCTGGTAAGCATCGTCATTTGACAGTCCCAACTCCTTCATGTTCCTATGGACTTTATGTAGTTAACGTGATAGTTGGTGGCCTGCCTCGCCCTATTTTATTGGAGCCATAGAAAGGCACTTCACGACATGGTTTTAGGGTTCGAATCCGCGACTATCGGAAGTAAAGCGGTATGTTCTACTGCGAAACTTTAGAGGTCGTTAGATCTCCGACCCCGTGCTCAATCGTCAAATATATATTTTTTGTAAATAGGTATACTGATTGCCATTTGGCAGTCGATCACTAATTATATTATAACATTAGACACCAACCAGAAATTAGAACCAGGCGCCATCAATCCAATTTCCAAAGCAAATATGTCAATCAATCGTAACTACGCCACTGAGCTGGCCATTCTTAAAATAGTCCCCGAAATGTGATTTTCCAAGGAGTTTTAAAGATTGAGGCCAGCACATGTTTGTAGCTCTCGTAGATTTTATGAGTCAATGGGAGATAATTACATGCAATTGTTTGTAGTAGGAGGAAGGGATATATAAGAAGACGGCCTCGGTAGTCTAGCGGTATAGCACACCATTTTACTTCCGATGGTCGCGGGTTCGATTCATCGCACTGCACAAACATTTATATTCATGACCTTATATCGCTCTGGGTGTTTTCTATGTATATAAAAAATAAAAGTATTTGTATATTTATATCAGTATTATGGTATCCATAATGTAAGCTCTGCTTAACTTGGGACTAGTTGGCGCTGTGTGGATTTTCCAAGGCTATTATTATTTTATTATTATATATATTTTGTGCCTTAATGAAGAAGCAGTATTTATCATATATCATATCAAGGAATTCAGTATATGCATGTACTTATCATTTCATTCGCTCAAATAACCCCAGTATATTCTTCCTTTCAACACCAAAATTAGGGTCGCACAGAATATTCACCTCCCCATGTTGAACTATACCGACGTTTGTTTCTTCAATGTGGCTGAAAAGCTTCTAAACAAAGTCGAATGCTTACAGAATTTCGCCATCAGATTTATCATCAGTCTGCATAAGTTCTACCATGTTTCTGTTTTTCGCAATGAGTTTAGATGTCTCCAATTTTGCAATGGCAATTACACAAAAGTATTGCAAGGTAACTATAATATAAAATTTGGCGTGGTCAATATTTATAGGTATAATTAGGAAAAATAACGGAATCTTACTACTGGTTACTTATTTTTTATTGAGTTCCCGATATTTCGGCAGTGTTTCAACCGTATGATCAAGGATAAAGGTAAAGTAAGTTTTCCCGTGATCATGGCAGTTGAAGACGCGGTAAGATCTTGTGATCTTTTCCTAATTGTATATATACCTAAGTGTATATATAGTATAAAAATAAAACTTACCTCTATGTGGAACATAAATGTTCAGATACAGGCAATCTTCAGACTCAGTCGCGAGGAATGGTTTCAATCTATTCATGTAGTTCTGACGACCCAATGAGGGAGGGTTTCCCTTTTTTATTGGTGGTAGTGATTGAGGGCAAACTGGTGCAAAGCGGGTCGCCATTTTGACACCAGACCATGGGAGAGCACTACCTGTAAAAGAACATATTATACAATTATTAAAAAATATACCATTCGACGTCTTGATGGGCGCTGTTTAGTACACTGGGTTCCTCGCTCGATACAAACATTTGTATTTCTTTTTTATATCATAGGAGATAAACGAGCTTGCGGCTAACTGGAAAAAAGTGAACTACGAACCATGAGCACCCGCAACACCAGAGGAATTACAATTGCGTTGCCCGTCTTTTAAGTAGAAATAAGCTCTTTTTTTGAAGGTTTCAATATCGTATTGGAAATACCATTGCTGGAAGGAATCATGTGTATGATTGATTATATTGGTTTAGATGTTTTCTATATATATATTGTATGTATTTATAAAAATAATTAAAATTTAATCAGTTGTGGAGTAAGTCTAACATAAGATCTACTTAGCTTGGGACTCGATGGCGCTAATGTGATTTTTATTATTCTAGATTATTATCATTATTATATAGCATTATTTATTATTTGGAATTGCAATAAAGCTTCGTTCATATCTGTAGTTGAACATCACTAGGATATCAAGTCCTAAAGTGACCGCCATTCCTAAAGAATAATCAGCCGAACCTCCATACCCTGTAATTTTGCTGACATATCCCCCCTACTACCTAAAACAGCTTGCGAAAGAAGCCGCTTTGATGCTGTGATAGGTATGACTGAGGTACTCTGGTACTTTAAATAAACTAACCTGGGTAATCTAAACTTATAACTTTATCCTCTTGGAATATGCTGACCAAGGAGCGATGTGAGAATGGTGTTAAAAACATGAAAGTATTAATGTTTGGGTAAACAGTTCAGGGTATCCTGTCCTATAATCTCATACAGAAAATTATCAGAACTTTGACTACATTTATTAAAATACATGTTATTAAATAGTTTACAACATAAAATTAAATAGAAAAAGCATATTTTAATTATTTTGAATTGCCAAAATAGTTTTACAATGATATTTGCTAAGTACATAAAATCTAATATTTGCGTTGTAATAGGAACAGATAATAAATTAACGTAAACAAATAGTGAATTCTTAGAAAAAGTATCTTTGTTTTGTTGCCTCTTGGCGCAATATCGTTATAACATTTATAGGTTAGTTCCCTAAAAATAGTTTCCTACCTGGAGGCATAAACCTCATATTTCCAATCGGAGGAGCAGCATACGGTATACCGAGGAACATCTCCACATACTGCAGATCATACTGTCTACTCGGCTTCACAATCAGCCCCCTCAAAGCTCCTTGCCTCAAATGGTACTCCACAGTTCTTCTGCCCTCGTCGTTCAATCGGGAATAGCCGGCTATCCCCGCCGCACTCCTACCAACCATCGGTAGTAAGAGGGAGACAACAACACAAATAAACATATTGTGATTTATATGCAAACTCGCGTGCCGGTTAGCAGCCATGTTTATGAGTTCGGCTTCTTCGTTTTATGCTCCGCGGAGCTGAAAATACTCGATGTTTTATTGTTTGTTTGCTCTTTACTTTATGGTCAGTATACATAATGAGTCATTCGCATCAACTATCTCTTTCATATACCGATTATAAATATCAATAAATCATTTTTTAATTTTACACATAAACCATTAAACATTCACTTGTAATTTAGTCCTTAATTGGTTCACTATAGACACGGTACTTGCACAACACGGATCACATTGTCACATAATTCACGCACGTATGTTTGATAAAAATGTAGCACGGTAGTGGTATTGCAAAGTTATTCACGGAGTAGTAAGCCAAACGACGGCAATAGTGCGCTCGTCGTAAGCTGAGGGAACGACTGGATCGAGTCCAAACTGTCCCCACACGACTCCAATACCAAAATACTACAGCAAATGCTACTCACACGGTATAACATTGCAGGGATATATTTCTAAATAGAAATAGAAATAGAAATAGAAATAGAAATAATCTTTATTCAAATAAACTCATTACAAGCACTTTTGAATAGTCATATTTTGATTTTACCGCTCATTTGGAATGCAAATTCATCACAAGAAGAATGAGCAAGAAACTTGTGTGTTGCACTTTTGAATAGATGTTTTTTTTATATATATAACTAACTAAACATAAAATATAATTATCTCATTAATTTAAACAATTTAATTACTTTTTTATTACTACACAAATGTCATTAGTTCGAGATAAAGTATACATTTAATGGTCTCAGTCCCAGCGCTTTTGGACGTATTGGTTTAGGTATTTTCTATGTATTTACAAAAAAAAATTGTCAAAAAAAAAAGTATTATATAATCAGTTATTTATTACCCATAACACATAGTTTGCTTAGCTTGAGAGTAGATGGCGCTGTGTGAAAAGCAATGGTATTAAAACTTTCAGGAAAAGAGCTTATTCCTTCTTAAAAAGCTGGCAAACGCACTTGCAATTTCTCACGCAGTTGCACGTGCTCACGAGCGGCGGTTATTACTTACCATTGCAAGCTTACTTGTCCCCTGTGCTATAAAAAAATCTTCAAGTATGTGAAATGATGTTTATGCTGTATTACTGTAAAGTTTAATTAAAAACTGTTCAGTGATTTTTATTTGAAAGAGTAACATTCATCCACCGATCTATCCATTCATACTCCCAAACTTTCACGTTTATAATATTAGTAAATAGCAGATACTAAACTTATTTCATACAGGATCACACACAATTGCAACTTTCATACACATTTATGTGTCTACGAACTTTTAACTGTCTTTCCTCAATGAATCATTTTATAATTCGATAAAAAATATCTTCAGATTGCACATCGAAAGTTTATATCTCTTAACTCACGCTCACTGAGGGTTTTCTCGTCGCACGCGCATCATTATAAGCCGCGGACTAACCCGGGATATTTCTGTCCGAACACACCACGTGGTCTCGGTAAACATCCGGACAATGCCGAGATAAAAAGGAAATGATCCGGAAATATCTATAAACTATTAATAGGAATGGATATAAATTAAACACTAATAACAAAGTGTTTTTATACTTGGTCATTTTATTGGATACAATGGGAAGAATGGGGCATTATGAGTTGTGTGGGAAGAATAAGTATATATATATGTATATAAAGAAATTCTTTATAATAATGTAATTAAAGATTTCAACAATTCAAATTTTGGCGCTAGCTAGCGCTCCGCGCTTTTGATTGCAAGGTGTTAGAGGGAGCTGTCAGCAGGAAGAAAATAAAAATGGATTGTGCAAAAACAATTGTGCGTAATTAAGGTTATATAAAATATATTATAAAAAGACAGTAATAGTTGAATAATAATTGTAATAAACTTTAAATGTCGTTACTTTGTTTACAGGTGAGTTAAATGTGATTCAGTATTTCCGTGCTAAATAATTGTTGTGTTTTAAAATTAAATAAAACATTTCTTTGTTTACAGTAAAACAATTTTTAGTTTATTTTATAAAGAAACCCTGAAAATATCATTATATATATATAGGTATATGGGAGTGAGGATTATCAAATAATAGGATAAAGTTATTCACGAGAACTCCTTTTATTAAAAAAAAAGTATTTACAACAAGAAGATACTACCTTACAATATGGTAGTCCACGAAGAAGAGATGACGATGGCCATTGCCTTATCTCAATTTATTTAAATAAAAAAAAAGTATTTGCAACAAGAAGATATAACTTTACAGTATGGCAGTCCACGAAGAAGAGATGACGATGGCCATTGCCTTATCTCAATTTATTTAAATAAAAAAAAAGTATTTGCAACAAGAAGATACTACCTTACAATATGGTAGTCCACGAAGAAGATAGCGACGGCCATTGCCTTATCTCAATCATTCCTTTCCTCATTCATTCACTCTACCCATTGCTCATACTCTTTCGTTTCCATTCATTCATACCGCCAAGTTTCTCAAAATCCTATATGTATATATATACATACATGTTGTATATATGTCATATGGCTCTAACGATTTGTATAACATTTTATATATGGACATCTAAATATATATAACTTAAAGGACTGACATAGTGATCTATCAACGCACAGCCCAAACCACTGGACGGATCGGACTGAAATTTGGCATGCAGGTAGATCTTAGGCATTGGCTAAGAAAGCTTTTTGATTAATTCTAAAGTAAGGGGATAAAAACTAAATAAAAACTAACTAAAACAATTCGCAGTCAACTCAAGTGACTTCCCATTCGTCTTCGCAGGAATTTTCATATATTATCCCTCCTTTACTCTATTCTTTTCCACCCCTCCACCCCTGAATATCTAAAAACCAAGTTCCCATTTCATATTAAATCCCCCGGTTTTGTTTTGCGTAGTACCAGAAGCCTATGTTTGACGATCCCTGCTCACTCCTCCACATATTATTCCAACTCCTTCACTGTCCAAGCCATTCGCCTCTGGAACTCTCTACCACTCTCCATTCGATCAGCTCAAACACATGCATCATTTAAAAATAGACTAAGATCACATTATCTCTCTTCATAGTACATTTTTTTATTTTATTTTAATTTTTTGTCATTCTTCCAATATGTAGTATATATGTAGATTTATATATTTATCCCTAATGTAAGTACGTATATCTAGTAGTATAATAAATAGTGTCTTATTACGTGTGCCACCTACCCTATTCTATGTACATAAGTCCTCTCTTCTAGGTTGTCAGTAAGAGATTGCATTTAGCGATAAGACCGCATTTTGTTATTATTTTACTATTTACTGTATTTTCTTATTATTTTATGTGTACACAATAAATAGTTTTATTATTATTATTAAAACCAAGGGGATAAAATAGGGGATGAAAGTTTGTATAAATCTTCTTAGATTTTGTAACCATATTTCAGGGTTCCTTTCTACCATGTCTTTAATGATAAAGTGATTAAAGTAGACTGTTTATATGTATAATACATGTACACCCGTGAAAAGCCGGGGTGTGTAGCTAGTAGGATATAAAACTCCATTTAATATCCTTACAGTTTCCACTTTCGTAAATAATGTACTATATCGAAATAGAAATCGCATATCACAGAGATGAGTCACTGTTTAAATTGATAGACGTTGTTGAAATTCCGGCATTTCGTGTGTCGTTCTTTACCGTCTCACAAAGGGGTATTTCAGCATCTCAGTATGACTTGTGACATTGTACGAATGGACAATATCCAACGAGATAAAGTCAAGAGTCTTAGTATTTGAAGTTCATAGTTCTGACATTACCATGAGCTTCATGTATACGTATTATATTCACTATATCCTGAGGAGATAAAAACCATCGATCCTTCGATTCTTGTCCCTTACGGGTCTAGGTAGCGAACTTTGAAAAAGGGCGAGCACAATAGATCTATACAGGTCGAAGTGTTACAGGTCATTGGACCAGGCAATAGCCCAAACATCCCCAATACGTATTGTCGGATTGCACACAGAATGAGTGATTTATATGTTGATTGTCGCATGCTTCGTTCTCGTCTTGTTATATATATATGTATATTTATTTAAAACAACATTAATTCAAAAGAACAACACATAAGGTTCTTGCTCATTCTTCTTGTGATCACTCTGCGTTTTGAATGAATGGTAGAAAAAAATGACTATTGAATAGTGATATTATTATTATTATTAAATCATTTCTCAGTATGCCATTGAAGCTATACTAGTTTTTGCCTATTGCTCTGTGCGCGTTCCTAGAATAATTGTATATTTAAAAAAAAAATTGTTTGTACACTAATATATATAAATAAATAATAATCATGAGCATAATTTTTTTTTTATTTATTTCACTTTAATGCACAAAAACAATGTGTATATATGGCGGACTTAACACCATGCGGCGTTGTCTACCAGTCAATCATGAGTGGTGCAGAGAAAGATTGTTGGCAGTGCACTAATATAAATGAGAAATGTCAAAAAAGATGTATAAATATAAAGCAAAATATTTTAAATATAAATTTCAATAAAAAATAATAATAAACATTTATGTCGGCGCACAACACTAGCGATCGGCTCACTGTAGGTCCAATCCGGTTGAGGTTGGCTCGCCTGTACCCTTTTCGACGTCCACTACATATGACGTGCGCATAAAATTTATTTGTAACCTTTTTCAAATATAATCATTTAAAATTGGAGTCAGATTATTATTCATATCCACCTCGGAACATGGTGACCCCGACGTGATTTTCAAGATATCAATTAATATAAAGTAATATTGCTTGAAGCCAGCCGGTCAACAGTATTAATAAAGCACCGCAGCTAACGCTTAGCAAGAAGAATATATATCTACCTCAGAATTACATGGGAATATATTGAAGAAATTTATATATCTGGTATTATCTGTTTCTGGAGAAGCTAGTTACAACGACTATAAAATACATCAACAATTACGGAAGGCTATCCACCAATTGCTTAAAGCCAGCCGGTCCACCAGCAGACTACGAGCAGTGCCGCAGCCACAGCTTAGCAAGGGAAGTGCCTTATCCTATCTTTCCTACCTAATATTATTGTAATCATTCTGCCTCAATTTGCTTTTAGTTGCCACTTCTTAATTAGTGATTTTTTTCCATATAAGTTGATTACGTAGATTTAATTTCTATTCTTTTTTTTGAGTCTATTAAATTAGGGGTACTTAATACTATTTAGTATACCTGTAGTTATTAGCACATTATATAAAAGCTTATCTATTAATTGTAAGCTAAACATTTCAATAGTTGATCGTATAAACGTTCGTACATTCTTTATATTATTTTATCATAACTACCTACGATCTCAACTTAGAAACGTAGAAGTCGATTAAAATAGATAATTGTAACACTATTATAGTATTCACTATAATAATAGAATAGAATAGATACAATTGTATACTAATGTATATAATATAACAATAATAGGTATAATAATTAAGTAAAACATATAAAAGATATCTAAATCCCTAAGTAGAAAATTAATTTAGTAGTAGTAAATTATTTTAGTAGCTTGTTTTATTGTATCTGTCTATTTGGGTATTATTTAGTTAGAATATAGATTGTTGCATATTTGATTATTAGTGCTACGCAAATACTTTAGTGAGATAATTATATCACATTCAAGTAGTTAGTTATTTCATTGTAATTTTATTACTATTCGCTATGAAGTAATAATAAATATTATAAATGCAACATTAACATTTTATGTTTGGTACATTTTTTATAACATTTGCAATATTTACACATTCCAGTGCGCCAGCGCAGTTGCAATAAGTACCTACCGCTTGCCTGGCTGCTGCGCTCGCATCGCCCGGCCCTATTGTTTTCGTGCCTCGAGTGATCTATTACGTCATCGTCATAGGCCGGCTTGGTTACATTTACGTATCATTTATTTTATTTTTTCTTTTCGTATATTTTTAGTTTATCAAAGTCAATCATTTTTAAGTTTATTTAGTAAATTGTTTAAGTGATATTTATAATGTCACACACCTCAGATCGATCTGTGAGAACACCTTTAGAGAACATTAAATTAGATGTTCCAACTATGAATCCTTGTAATATAAAGGATCTTATTACCAAACGAAGTTCAATTAAAGGTCGCATAACAAAATACAGTAATTTTTTAACTAAATTTATTGATTCATATGATAAATATGATAAGACTAGTTTGCTTATGTTAACACAGAGATTTGAGAGATTTAAAGACTTAATGTCCATTTTTGATGATTGTCAATCACAAATTGAATTTGTGAATTCAAATAGTTTGGAATCGGAACTTGATACAAGAGAGGAAATCGAAACTGATTTTTCTACTCTTATTGCTAAGACTCAAGTAATTTTAGAGAAAAATCAGATTGTAGATGATTATAAATCGATTCACTCTGGATCGAGTTCAGATTGTAATAAGTCATGTGGTCATAATAAGAGCTTTCACTTTAAACTTCCCACTCTAAAAATTGGGAGCTTTGATGGGACTTATTTTAAATGGATTGAGTTCAGAGACACATATACTTCACTTATACATAACAATGATAATATTGACCCTATCCACAAATTTCATTATCTAAATTCTTACCTAGAGGGTGAAGCCTCTCGTGTCATTAGTAATTTAGAAGTTAGTGCTGTCAATTACAAAGAAGCTTGGCATCTCCTATGTGAGAGATACAACAACGAGAAGCAGTTAATACACAATCATTTAAATTCTTTGTGTAATATTCGGCCTATCACTCGCGACTCTGCCAAGGGAATAAGGTTTTTAATTGACCATGTATCAAAGAATTTGCGCGCTCTTAATAATCTAGGTGAACCAACTCAGTCCTGGGATTCTCTTGTCATCCATTTAGTCTCAGCAAAACTCGACGGCAGTACTAGTATTAAATGGGAGGAACATAAAAATAGTTTTGAGAAATCGCCTTCTTTAAATGATTTTTTTAATTTTCTTAAGCGTCGAGCAGATGTTTTAGAATCATTTAATCACATCAAGCCTGATCGTGTAGATCAAGTAAAGGTAGATCATAATTCATCTTTTAATCAAAATAGAAGATCTCACTCCAAATCTTTTGTGGTTTCAGCTAAGACCCAAGCCTCTGCTTCTTCACCTTCGTGTGTCCTCTGCCGCGGTAGCCATCGTTTGTATGATTGTGCATCGTTCCTATCCAAGCCAGTAGAGGACAGAATTTCTGAAGCATCAAGGTTAAAGATTTGCCTTAATTGTTTACGTAAGGGACACTCATCACATCAATGCAGATTAAGTCGTTGTTCTATTTGTGAGAGACGTCATAATACCTTACTACATAGGGAGTCTTCTCAACCTGCAAACTCATCTCAGGTACATGCAGTTACTTCTAATACTGAAACTGCCTTATCTGCAGTCGGACATAATCCTGAAAGCAGTATATGTGGCTTAACAAATCATTTTTGTAGTAACAATGCCTTGCTATCTACAGCTTTGATAGAAGTACAGAATCCAACCACGAATAAGTCTATTACAGTTCGAGCCTTGTTGGATAGCGGAAGTCAGTCTTCTCTTATTACAAAAAGAATGACAAACTTATTGCAATTAACTTCTCTGCCAATCCGGGTTGATATATTAGGCGTTGGTAATTTATTTTCTTCTAATGCGTTAGAACGTTGTGTAGTTAACGTAAAATCTAAATATAAAAATTTTAAAACACAATTATCATGTCTTGTACTTCCACAAATAACTAGCAATATACCTAATAAAACATTTGACATTTCTCAACTTCACTTGCCTTCTAATATACAATTTGCAGATCCTAACTTTAATCGATCTGCACCCATAGACATGCTATTGGGCACTGATATCTTTTGGGACCTGATTGAGTCTCAACAAATTAAACTTGGTCCAAATAAACCAATAATTCGAAAATCCAAACTTGGTTGGATATTAGCAGGTCCAATGTATACCAGGAACACTAATTCAGTATTTTGTAATCTTGCTATTGAACATAAAGATATTAGTAATGATCGTTTAAATGAAACAGTAAAGATGTTTTGGGAGTTGGAACAGATTCCGACAGCTAATAATAAAAGAACTGAGGAGGAAATATTATGTGAACAACATTTTTGTAAAAATACATATAGAAATAAGGACGGTAGATTTTGTGTTAAATTGCCCCTTATTACTGCACCAGACTGTTTGGGAGATTCATTCAGATCAGCCAAAAGACAATTTTTAGCTTTAGAAAAACGATTCGTGAAAAATCCAATACTCAAGCAATCTTATTCAGAATTTATTAAGGAGTATGCAGACTTAGGACATTTGACGGAATCACCTGTTTTTATTCCGAATCAATCCTTTTTTATTCCTCATCATGCAGTATTTAAGCCATCTAGTGAATCTACTAAGCTACGCGTTGTATTCAACGGCAGCGCTAAAACTACATCTGGTTATTCTATTAATGATATACAAATGACTGGACCTTACATTCAAGATTCTCTATTTAATATTTTAATTAGGTTTCGTCAATACACATATGTACTGTCAGGCGATATTGCAAAAATGTACAGGCAAATAGAAATTCAGGACAGTGATCGAAATTTACAAATGATATTATGGCGTTTCAATGAAAATGAACCACTGAAATCTCTTAGACTTAATACTGTAACTTATGGTTACACTAGTAGTAGCTTTTTAAGTACACGTTGTTTGTGGCAGTTAGGCGAGGAATGTGATAATCTAAATATAAAATTAATAATACAAAATGATTTTTTGGTTGATGATTTGTTAACTGGTAGTGATAATATAGATGATCTAGTGTATATTAAGAAGTCGGTAGAAAGCGCTCTTTCCTCTGGTTGCTTTAGCTTACGCAAATATCGTTCGAACTTACCGTCTATTTTGGTCGATTCACAGAACGACCAAAAGGATTTAATTATCAGTTCATCATCTCACACATTAGGTATAGGGTGGAATCCTAACAAAGATTATATACATTTTCCAACTAATTATCAAAATTCAAAGGACATTCCAACTAAGAGATCTATATTGTCAGATTCATGTAAAGTTTTTGATCCTCTTGGTTTGTTGAGTCCAATTACTATTAAACCAAAAATCTTAATCCAACGATTATGGTTGGATAACATTGGCTGGGATGATCCCGCTCCAAAGGATATAGCTAAATCATGGCAAGAATTTATTTATAATATAAAATATATACAAGACATACGTATTCCAAGGCATGCTTTGTGCGAATCCCCTGTAGATGTTGAACTCCATTGTTTCTGTGACGCGTCAGAGTCAGCATATGCTTCTTGCATTTATCTTCGGTCTATAAATAAGCAAGGTGATATAACTGTTCGTCTCTTATGTGCTAAGGCTAGGGTAACTCCGGTAAAACCGTTAACTGTCCCGCGTCTCGAACTAAGTGCATGTCTGTTAGGTGCACAACTTACAAGCGCTGTTTGTTATGCTTTACGATGTGTAATTACGCGTAAGATATTTTGGACTGATTCGTCCATAGTATTGGCTTGGCTAGGTACGAGATACGACAAACTAAAAACTTTCGTGGCGAACAGAGTCAGTGCCATTCTTGATTTAACTAGTACCGCTGATTGGCGTCATATTTCTACAACATTAAATCCAGCTGATTTAGCTTCACGTGGTGCCAATGCGGAGGAAATTCTTAATTTTGATTTATGGTGGCATGGTCCTTCATTTTTGCGTAAACATGTTTCTTTATGGCCCACTTCTATACCAACAGGGATACAGGTTAACAATTTGCCTGAAATAAAGGTGAATGTTAGCATGTGTAATGAAAGTGCAGAATCAATAATAGATTTTGATCGATTTTCAAATTTTAATCGTCTACAACGTACTTTCGCATATTTGTTTCGATTCATACATAATTGTAGATACCCTTTAAATAAGCAGATTGGTATTTTACAACCTGAACACTTAAATTACTCGTTTGAATTTTTAGTTAAAGTAGCTCAGGAACAAAGTTTTCCTAAGGAAAAAACATTATTACGAAACAATAAATTTCTTAGTTCTAAAAATTATCTATGTTCACTGAGTCCTTTTATAGACAGTAATGGTATCCTGCGAGTAGGCGGACGTTTGAATTATTCTTGTTACACATTTGATAAACGTCATCCTATGTTACTTCATGCTAAGCATAGACTTACCAAGTTGTTTTTTCAGCGGGAACATATACGTCTTCTTCATGCTGGTCCTCAGCTACTTCTGTCCTCGGTTAGAGAATCTGTCTGGCCTATAGCTGGAAGAGATTTGGCGCGTACTGTAGCTAGACAGTGCACTGTATGTAGAAGAACAAGCGGTAGAACACCAACACCATTAATGGGTGCACTACCCAAGCAACGCGTAAATCCAGATTTTCCTTTCATTAGTACTGGTGTCGATTTTGCTGGACCATTCTTTATAACCAACAGAAAGGGTAAAGGTTCTCGAATAACAAAATGTTATCTATGCGTTTTTGTGTGTCTTAGATACAAGTGTCTGCACTTGGAAGCCGTGAGTGAACTTTCTAAAGATGCGTTCATATTATCACTGCGTCGTTTTATCTCTCGCAGAGGTAAGCCTTTGGATATATTTTGTGATAATGGTCGCAATTTTGTAGCAGCTTCTAAAGAAATTAGACAGTTTATTAGGGCCAATACTGATGACATTTCTGATTTTTCTTCCAAAGAAGGTATTAAATTTCATTTTCAACCAGCTTATGCTCCGCATTTCGGGGGTTTATTTGAAGCAGGCGTGAAGTCAGCAAAATATTATTTAAAGAGGATTTTAGGTAACTCTCATCTCACATTTGAAGAATTGGCAACGTTGTTTAGTCAAATTGAGGCAATTCTTAACAGTAGACCCCTATATCCCTTGTCGTCCTGTCCCGATGACCTTCAACCCTTAACCCCAGGGCACTTCCTTATTGGAAGACCACTTTTGTCGTTACCGACACCTAGTTTGCAGGATAAAAACATAAACCGTTTAAACAGTTTTCAACGGTTGGAGCTTTTACGGCAGCAATTTTGGAAACGCTGGCAGTTAGAATATGTGTCCGAATTGCAGCAAAGGCAGAAATGGCGGATCCCAGATAGACAGCTTCAAATAAATGATTTGGTGCTGTTAAAGGAAGATAACTCCCCTCCCATGTGCTGGAGAATGGGTCGCATCTGCTCTCTGTTTCCAGGTCAAGATGGAGTGGTGCGCGTTGTTGAAATTAAAACTGCAGCAGGCAATTTCCGACGTGCTGTAAAGTATATCTGTCCATTGATGGAGCCATCAGAGGAGACTTCATTGGAAGCCGATGCTTCCAAGGCCCCGGAGGATGTCGGCGCACAACACTAGCGATCGGCTCACTGTAGGTCCAATCCGGTTGAGGTTGGCTCGCCTGTACCCTTTTCGACGTCCACTACATATGACGTGCGCATAAAATTTATTTGTAACCTTTTTCAAATATAATCATTTAAAATTGGAGTCAGATTATTATTCATATCCACCTCGGAACATTTATATAAATATTATTTGTATATATTATATGTGTATATAAATACATAATGATCTGATAATTAAATTATAAGTACAGCCTGAAATTGAAAGTAAGAAATAAAATATATAGAGAGAACTATAGGGAAATAACAGAAAGATGTGAAAAAGGTAGAAGGACAGTAAAAAAAAAGTATACGTATCTATGTAATATATCTTAGGATCATCTATCAGATGCCTAGTACTCATCACAGAAGCTCAGCTTAGCTTGGGATTAAGTGGCGCTGTGCGAATTATCCATACACATCCAGACTATTACTTGATTAGGTTGTTATTTCACAAAAAAAAATCGTACATCGAAAACCTACGATTCCTACATATAATTGGACGTAATCTTTATGCGACTCCGCAATTCAATTTAATTTAATATGTCACAGAAGCCCCTCCGCGGGCTTCTGTGACTGTTTAATTAATCCGCTAAACGTTTGAATATAGCTCAAGAACAAAGAATATAGCACGATTTAGAACAGACGGGCAACCGTTAAATCAAAGTTAACTGCCTACATCACCACCATTTTGTATGGGAGTATAATCGTATCACTAATAGCTATACCTCACTATTGGGTTGACTGGTAGAGATCTCTTTTAATGATAACCTTTGCTCACTTCGTATATAATTAAATATTTAAAAGTTCAATAAAGAATATATATATATTAATCTTTATATAGTGTAAAATGACGTCACAGCCGCTATCTGTACATTTAGATGTTTCATATCAAGCAATTTTCGGTGCAATTTTGCTACAGATATGTAGAGTAATTCAAGAGCAATATTTATATGTATATATAATACATGAATATTATATAGTACAGAAAAACATCGAAATTCAAATATTTCTGATCCACCTGTGCGAAGTCGCACCATCACAGCAGCGCATAGCATCAGCAGTCGAATATAATATAGTATATTATACTGTATATATATATATATATATATTTAACTGTAAAAACATAAGGCCCATCGCTTATTACATTCAGTGTAAGATTTTCTACAATCTATGCAGTCGGTACTAAAGTTTACGTTTCTCATAAGAATGTCTGTTCTCTCTATCTGTACTATTTAATCTATGAAATCTGTTGCCATTTTTGACCATATGCGACGAGATTCTAAGAAATGTGTACATGCGACGATGTAGATTTGATTTGCTATTCTATTTCTTTAGATGAATAGTATAATTAGAATTAATTTACAAAGTTAGGAGTATTCGGATGAAGTTAGAGCGAGTACTACTCGTATAATAAATTGTGCTAGTGATCAACCAGTGGTCGAAATTCGACCATTTATACATATAAATAAATTTTGAGTGTCTGTTTGTAAGATTGAAATAACCGTTTTTTACTACATGCTACTATGCATATAAATACGATACATACACCAAAATATTTTTTTTTACAATTTTTGTCTGCCTGTCTGTTTGTCTATTTGTTCCGGCTAAACTAAGAAATGGCTGGACCGATTTTGACGGGACTTTTTTGGCAGATAGCTGATATAATAAGGAGTAACTTAGGCTATCCTTATTTTAGATTTTTTTTATTTTAGAAAAATAAAGCTAAATTCCACGCGGACGAAGTCGCGGAGGGGATGAAAGTTCGTATGAAACTTTGTCAATTTTAAACCGATCGGGCTGAGACTTTGCATGCATAAAGCTACTATGACGTAGGCATACCCTAAGAAAGGATTTTGATAAATTCCACCCCTAAGGGGATAAATTAACGCGAGCGAAGCCGTTGGAAAAAGCTAGTTTTATATATAATAATGAATGTGTGAATAAAAAAAATAAAAAGAGGTGAAGGAAGCTAAGACAGTTAGGTACATCAAACATTGTGGAATGAAATGTCTGCCGAGGTTTCTCTAGGGACTATGCATGGGGTTTTTCACGAACAGTATATTAAGGGTCGGCAACGCGCACGTGACATCCCTGGTATGTCAGACGCTACAATAACTGTTTACCATCAGATTGGCCATATGCTTATTTGTCACCATCGTAGTATAAAAAAATTAAGGCCAAAATTGGAGTCGTTTAAAGAGAATGGTGGATGATCATACGTAGTGAAAAGTGGAGTCGTTTCATATCAACGTTTAGAGAGAATGATGGAAGATCGTGAGTAGTGATAAGAAGCTTCACCAACAAACGTGGCTTTTAGATATTAATGAACTAGCTGTTCTCGCGACTTCGTCCGCGTGGAATTTAACTTTATTTGTCTAAAATAAAAGTATTCTAAGTTACTCCTAATTACATCAGTTACTTGCCATAAAAAGTCCCGTCAGAATCGGTCCAGCCATTTCAGAGATTAGCCGGAACAAACAAACAGACAGACAGACAGACAAAAATTGTAAAAAATGTTGATTTGGTGCAATTACCGTATTTATAATTATATAATATGCATGTAGTAAAAAACGGTATTTTCAATATTACAAACAGACATACCAATTTTATTTATATGTATAGACGTACGGAATATATATATATGTAGTTTCGAGTGATATTATTTGACATTTCAGTGCTAATAAAAAATAATACGATAAGAAATGTTAAGGAGTGTGTTTCAGTTGAAGTATTAGGTATGACACTTTTATGACAAATAAATTAATATGGCAGTGAAATTACAGGGTACGAGACATGACATCTTAGTCCTCTGGAGTGGCAGAAGATGATAGTTAGCAGTATTACATCATGAGGTGATATATTAATGCTGTTTGTGTATATAAGCGAAGTTACCTTTTATATAAATTAATATGGCAGTGAAATTACAGGGTATGAGACATGACATCTTAGTCCTCTGGAGTGGCAGAAGATGATAGTTAGCAGTATTACATCATGGGGTGATATACATATTAATGCTGTCTGTGTATATAGGCGACAGTTACCTCTTATATAAATTAATATGACAGTGAAATTACAGGGTACGAGTCATGACATCTTAGTCCTCTGGAGTGGCAGAAGATGATAGTTAGTAGTATCAAATCACGGCGTGATATAATATTGCTGTTTGTGTATATAGGCGACAGTTACCTTTTATATAAATTAATATGGCAATGAAATTACAGGGTACGAGACATGACATCTTAGTTCTCTGGAATGGCAGAAGATGATAGTCAGCGGTATCATATCACGGGGTGATATATTAATGCTGTCTGTGTATACAGGCGACAGTTACCTTTTATATAAATTAATATGGCAGTGAAATTACAGGATACGAGACATGACATCTTTGTTCTCTGGAGTGGCAGAAGATGATAGTTAGCAGTATTACATCACGGGGTGATATATTAATGCCTAATATAAAATGACTTACTTACTTACTTACTATAAATACAGCCCTTAGTAACATATCTAACAACCCCTCCGATCGATCCCCCGTCCAATTCAAACGGGGATCGAAATTACGACGGCCTGAGCCGAGGTTCGAACCCCTAGTGGTGCCCTCAGACTAAAGTCGTATCCGTCAGGCAGGAGTTGGCCTTCAGCCGCTCCATAAGTCCTTCCGCGGGTTTGGAGTGCTATCTGCACTCGCCCCATAACGTCCGGTGAAGCTGTAAAGGCCAGCTACGGACAACAGCATTAGAGTAGTCCGCAAAAAAAAACATATCTAACAACATTTAAAACTTACATTTAAAACTTACTTAATTTTGTTGTTTGTAATATTGCGTGTCAGAAATGACCAAATGTGTGAAACAATGTTTTAAAATACCACTCCCAATGTACCACATTATATATAGTAAAATTTCCATTCGTTTTCTAGAAATAGTAATATTATATTCAATTCTACTGATTCAAATGTTATTATTTCCTCAAGATACGGAATATAACCAGCATCGTTTGTACTTACCATTATATTGGAGATGAATGCGTGATTCTCAAAATAGAATCCAGTGTATGATTGTTAAACACATGATATCAATAATATATGAATCATTGTCTAGACAATAGGTTTGATCGATCTAACGTCATGCTCAAAAATACATGGGAACGTTCAGTTTTATTTGAAACTCGCTGTTCCCGCGACCTCGTCCGCGTTGTATTTTTCTAAAATAAAAGTAGTCTAAAGAACTAAAAATTAATTTTTTTTTTATTAGGTACTGATATGTTGAAACTAATACATTTACATCCTACATCATCCCTAATTTTATCCCCATGGGGGTTGAATTTATCAAAATCCTATTTACGCGAACGTCTTTATGATAGCAGCTCCAATCTTTACTTTCAGTTCGACCAGTCGAAAATCTAAGAAGATTTATACAAACTTTTATCCCCTATTTTATCCTCTTAGGGGTATAATTGATCTAAATCCTTTCTTAGGGGATGCCTACGTCATAGTAGCTTTATGCATGCAAAGTCTTAGCTCGATCGGTTTAAAATTGACGAAGTTTCATAAAAACTCTCATCCCCTATTTTGTCCCCTTTAGGGTAGCCCCCAAGCCCCCAAGCAGGATTCTCCAGCGCCACATTTCTACAGCAACTATCTTTTTTCTTTCTATATCTCGCAGGGTCCATGTCTCCGCACCGTACAGAAATATGGGACACGGACTACTCTCGTTTTTGCATTCTTTGTTATTTTTCGATTCCTCCATATTTTTTTCAACTTATCCATATCACTTCTTGCCATGGACATACGTCTGTTGACATCTTCCATGATATTAATGATTACAGAAATACAGAAGGAAATGGTCTAATCAGAGGCCGTAACTCTATTGCTATTAAACAGTACTAGTTTTAAATGTGACGGATTAAACTTTGTCATATCAGCTAATGTAATACATTGTATGTGTGTAAATATAATTGTAATTAGAGGCATTGGCG